GGCCCGAGCGCCGGGTGAGGGGCAGAGGAGCCCCCGCTTGTACGGGGACCGCGGGTGTCGGGGCCCTGCACTGCGGGTTCCTGCACGGCTGTGTTGATCTGGGGTGTCACTGCTTGGAGGAGCAGCCTGCGGTGTGAGCTGGGTGTTCAGGCGGGCCGGCGCTGGGGAGGTGGTTTTGTGTGGCGGCGTGCAGAGCTGTGCTGCTTTCACAGGACGGCCTGAAGCAGTGCCTCTCCGAATTCAAGCAGCAGCTAGCTTGGGTGGAAAGGCTGGATGTGACTTCGGGCCAGGTCGTGGATCCCGTCTCACAGGGTGCTTCTGACAAAGATGCTGTTGACCCTGAGAATGATTTCCAGAGAGAGATGAGCTTGTAAGTGTAAAAAAGGGGAGATTTCTTGTAGGATCTGAGCACACTGCTGCACACTTGGATTTGTGTTTCACAGGCCTGCTACGGTAACGTGCACTGGCTCTCACTGTGGCACTGTGGCACTCTTGGGCCATGTATTTTACGTTTGATGGCTCTGAATGTTTTCCATAATAACTACAAATTAATGCTAGTGTATTTAACTTGTCTTGTGATGGGGAAATAATTTCCCTCCTTGCAGCAGACTTCCATCCTTTGCTGAAAAGTTTATTTAAAAAGTTCCTTGGTTGCAGCACTATGGCTTTAACACAGAATATGGATTTTTCTTTGTGATTTGTTTGGGGTTGTTATAGTTCCGTTGTTTTGCCTTGCATTTTATAATCCAACATATAAAACTGTAACTGGAAACTAGGTAAACGTATATGTGCAAGATATAAGCTTTTACATGGTACTGGCACCTAAATTGCTTTCAGTAGCACTGAATGCTGTAGGGCACAGCATATTGATAGAATTCTAGATCAGTGCTTGTTAGATACCAGTACCAGCTAGCTTATGTGAGAAGAGTTTTTGTGAGATGCCCAATACCCGGTGATAGAGCTGATGCTGTGTTGTCTCCCTAGTTACCGGCAGGCTCAGGCAGCGGTCCTGGAAGCCTTACCTAGGTTGCGTAAGCTCCAAGTTCCTACTAGAAGGCCAGATGATTACTTTGCAGAGATGGCCAAATCAGACCAACAGATGCAGAAGGTATGTGCAGTGAATAATGGCTTTCTTTTCTGTGTTGGTTTTAGCTTGTGTTAGGGATTAACTTTACGGTGTGATGTGTGAACACTTACCTTCATCTCTTGGACAAATGCCTGTGATAGCATTTGTGTTTGAAATTTTGCTTGTGGCAGGAAATGTCTTCCTGTTCAGGTATTTTGGTGCCATGTGGGAATTTCCGTAACAGGTTGGAACGTAACATGGAAAAGCACGATTTATATTCTGTCCTAAGTCTATTTCATATTAAAAATGGAGACTTTTTCCTTCGTGTGTGAGAGTGGTTGTGAAGTTGTCTGTGTTTATGCTCTTTGTTCTAAGATTTGCAGTCAACTGTGGCATTAACGTGATCCCTTTTCCATATTTAAGTATATCCCTCTGTTTATACTCAGTGTGTTTTGCTTCTCTGTGGTTTTAAACTGTATGTTATGGAATTTATCACAGGTAGTAAGTCAGATTTGTGTAGGAAATAACAATTTAATGAACTTGCTTCTTGATTGTGGTATTTCTTTAAAATAGAACTAATTTTTGTTTTAGTTTTGGAAAAAAAGACTATATTGTATCAGTTAAACATGAGCTGGAGTCTAATTTGGAGGTTCATGTATGACTTGGTCACTGTTTTGATGTCTGACAGAACCTTCCTAGAGAAGATGAAAATTAGTAATTAGCTTGTGCTGAGGCTTAAGTCAATTCTGCACATCACTATTACCTTATTTTGCTGGCTTCTGTTTGAAGAACAGAGTTTTTGTCTCCTAGTGGAGTCACGGACTGAATCCAGAAGGTCTGTGTTGAAATTTTTGTAATCCCTTGAAACGCAGCATCCTTATAGAAACGTTGGTGAGCAAGGAGGGAACGAAAAAGATGTTTTCTATGGCATGGAAGGAGTGTTGACTCTTCTACAGTGCTTTACTTTTAATAATGACAAGAAAGAAACTATCAAGTCTTCTACATACACCTGAGTAGACTGACAATATACTGTTGTTTAGCAGTTCCATTAGAGCCTATTATAAGGCTTTGTTTTGTCTCTGTGAGTTTTGCCTTTTTAACCAGGTTTTGGCTACACATCAGTTCAGGAGTTTCTGTAATAATTGCTCCTGTCCTGAGTTGAAAGAACGTTATACCTTGTAAGTCATTATCTGATTGAGAAATGTTTCCATTTTTACAGTCATTGATAGTTCATGTAATTACTAATTTCAGGACTGCACAGCAATCATAAAATCCTCATATTTTCTTTTGTGTTACTGATAAATTTTGTTTTTTCTATCCCCTAATAAGATTCGACAGAAGCTTAAGAGTAAGCAGGAAGCGATGGAGAGGTCTGAGAAAGCAAAACAGCTCCGTGCAATGAGAAAATATGGCAAGAAGGTGAGGAAGAGCTACAAAAGGGACCTATCTGTGACAAGAATCAAGAACCTGAGTGAGGAGCTTAGAAAGTGAGACCACAGGAGGCTGGCTAAAATATACAGAATCTGTCTAGTCTTCTGTCTAGTTGCTTTGAAGGAGGACAGAGCAAAAGATGGCATGCCTTAAAAAAAAAAAAAAAAAAAAAAAAAAGATAAAAAAAGTATGTGACATTACAAGTAACAGCACTAACATTCTGCTTCTAATCTCAGGTGCAAACTGAGATTCTGCAGAGGAGACAAAAGGAGAAGAAAAATATGTTGAATGCAGTCAAGAAATACCAGAAAGGTAAAACTTGTCTAAGAGAGCAAATGTGTAATGTGAATAGTGATGTGTGAGCAATGTAAGGCAGCGTGATGTGTGGTGTGAATCTGTAGTGAGCTGGGCAGTGAGCTTGAAAGGCTGCTGCTGCACAGTGGCGGTGAAAATCCTCCCAGGTAACAGTTCTTTGGTGAGGGTGACTTGTTGCTATTACTCACTTAGACCGAAAATTCTTATTTTCTGCAGTAGTAGCTGAGCAACTGTTATGTCTTTGCTCTTGCAGGTCTCTCTGACAAGCTGGATTTTCTAGATGAAGAGCAAACGTCATCTCAGGGGAAGAAAAAAGGAGGGGCAAGTCAACAGATAAAGAAGGGGTGAGACCAGAAAAGAAAGATACTTAAATGCAGAATCTCTGATTTTTTCAGTTTTTTAGGGGGTCATTTTGTGGAACAAGAAAGTTGTTCTGATTAATGTTTGTTAAAATAAGTTTGAGGTGGCTTTCTGTCCCTAGAGAGGAGGAAAACTGTGGCCAGAATGGATCGGAAACTGAAATGTGCTAATTTCTGTCTCTTCAATAAGAGGGGAAGGATTTATGATGGCTGATGGGAGTCCATCAGCAGATACATGTACCTTCTTGAGAGCTTCCTGAGGACCTGAGGAAAGGAATATAGGCGATGATGCTGTTCGGTTGTTTTTCAGACCAAATGCCAAAAGACGTTACAAGAATCAGAAGTTTGGTTTTGGTGGGAAGAAGAAGGGCTCGAAGTGGAACACGAAGGAGAGTTTTAATGATGTGTCCAGCTTCCGGTCAAAAGTGGCTCACAACAAAGGCCCAGGAAAAGCAGGAAAAGGAGGGAAAAAAGCCCTCAACGTAAGTAAAATGTTGCCTGCAAATGATCCTGGTTGGCTAGGAAGCCAGCCCTGGTCTGGGAGGGAGAGCTGAGTATATGATGGGTGCCTCTAGCACCTGAAAGTGACAATGTCTGTCTTTCGGAGCTGAGCGTAATTCAGTTGCAGAGAGAGTTGAGGACAATGGTTCAGTGTCTGAGCAGGGAAATGAGTGGGCGAGTTAGCAAATACTGTTTGTTGCTACCTGTGTCCCAAAATGTCCCTCTCCAGGGGTACTGACAAATATTGTCTCCTTGGTATCCTCCCCAAGCTATAGAGCTAGAAAAAAGATAGACTACATGAAAATAAAGATCTGAACCTGTCCTTTTTTTTGCAGAAGAGACCTGGAAAGAGAGCAAGGCAGAAAATGAAGAGCCGAGCACGATAAGAGGGCTGTGCTCCCCAGAGGGCTGCCTGGGGTGGAGCAAGCTGGATGCTTCCAAGAGGCAAGAAAAAAAAGTCAGTGGAAACTAGTGCCTTATCACTAATTTCTTTTTACTGTCTGTTTTGTTGAAGGATTGTTTTCTATTTAAACCTTTGGTGTGCGAACACATTAAATGGTTTGTACAGAACTATGTCTAATGCATGTTTAGTTTGTGCTATGAATGGTGGCTGAAGCCTGCCCTTTGTTCCCTTTGTTCTGACAGCTTTTTACACAGCTACTGTTGACATGTACTTGGTGAACTTAAGTTCTGGGTCATGTTGCCGATGTCAGAGTAAGAAGTCTGAAGCCTGTCAAGATGTTAAACTGGTTTTTAGAGTATTCATATAGATGGGTTTGGAAACAACAGTGAGACGTACAGCAATCCTATAATAGGTTTATTTCTGTAACTATTGTCAGGCTGCAGATCTGGACAGGCTGAGGTTCTCTCTTCACTTTTCTTCTTATCTCCTGCCAGAAATCTACCAGACTCATTTAACAACAAGCAGGGCATAACACATTAGATGTCATTAACTGCTTCTAAGTTATGTGGCTTTGCCACTCTACTACTGCAGGTTCTCAGACCACTCCTCCCCATGCCCCACAACAGCCGTTTATTTAGTGATCTCGGTTCTCCGGCGTGGGAAGTAGAGTCTGCAATCTGTACGGTCCACATGAATCTGTGAAAGAAAAGTGATTAATAGTCAGGTGCTTTTACTAGAATCAGCAGTAGTAGTCCCTTGTGAGAAGAATGATGGACAGTGCTCTTGCTGCTGAGAAATGCCCAAATGACAAATGAGTAGGCTACCACTTATTTGAGAATATACTGTTCACTGCTTCATTACAGTAGAACCTTGTGAAAAAGGAAAACTTAAGGTATCAAGCAGCATCATGAATCCTGACTGTATAAATTTAACTTGCTCCCCTACACACAAATTTAGTTGCTTCTTTCCTGCCAGCCTAATCCTACCAGTGGTATCTAACAGTGTAGACCCTGCTGGGATGTCTGTCTCTAGCCTTGTTATGAGTAACTAGTTTACCTGAAGTGTAATATGAAAAGTTGCAGTAGATTATCTTATTTTCTTACTTATCTTAGTTTTCTTTGTAACAGGCCAAAATTAATCAGGCCCTCATTTGCCTTTCTCGAAACGATAATCTACAAATTCAGTCATCACAGCTGTTTGTTTGTCAGATATGATTGATGTCTCAGCTTGTTACTAAGATTTCTTTTCCTCCTGTTTATTCACACTTCACCAGATGAATTCTCACTGGTGTGTTCTGGCTCGGATTTACTTAGCTGGTTATTAATTTTATGGTTATGCTTGCAATTTTTTTGAAAGATACTGTACAGCAGCACATTTCTTTTCACAGTACTTATGTATGTCATGTCACGTTGCTCACTACACCATTTCTCATCACTGAATGCTTTAATAAACAGCTGTGACTACATACGTGGCATTTGGCAATATGCCTGGGGACGACTGTCATTGTAGGTACTTTGCATGCAAGTTTCTCAGGGAAAGTCTACTGTTTCTGTGCTCACAAGCCTATGCCAAGTGTGAAGAGTCCTCTTTGGTGTAAATTTTAAAAACTTGTTGTTCATGAACAGCTCTGCTCATTCCTAGTTATTCCTATTTTCCACGTTAGTCACAAATTATTTTCTTGCATTAATATCTTTCAGTGGGATGGGATGAACCCTTCTGAATCCTGCAAAGAGCTGAGTCCTTAAGCACCTTACTCACCAAAGGTGTTGTGTTCCAGCCAATTTCTTGGCTTTCAGTTTGTGGCTCTGAGTATTTCTTTGTTGGCTCCAGTGCTGCATGGTGAATAAGATTCAGGAACTCGGCTGTTGGTTTAAGAGACAAATACAAATGAAGGAAAATATGTTTAAAAACCAGTCACCCATGGATGTATGTTAGAAGGGACATCCTAATTCTGTCCAAGCAATAGCAAGAAAGCCAAGGTTGGACGCAACCTCTGTGCTTCTGCAAATGATCTTGTAAGAGAATGCAGGGTGACATTTCTACTCAAATTTATCCTAAAGTTTCAAGATTTGCCTGCCCATACTGTCCTGTTAATTCTGTCATCCCTGTCTACTGTATTGCAGCATCTTACTTTTCTTACACCACATCTAGTATCAACCAGCGCCCCATGTTAGCTGTCAGGTTGCCTGCCTGCTGCCTTTCCCTGTTTTGTTCCCCTGCCCCCGCCCCAGTCCCCCAAATCCTAGACTAAAACAGGCCAACCTTAACTGACCATTAAGGTTTTTAGACAAAACTGGTGTGTTAGAACTATGGAAGCAGTTGCTATAAGGGTTCTTGTTATTAGTGCTGTAAAGCAAGACTCAGCAGCCATTTTGGCAGTTTACTATATGTGGTGGCTAGGTAGAATCTGCAATGACAGGCAATGTGTATGCATGAAACGTGTTTCTAGATTTTTTTATTTTTCCCTGAAAGAGTTTTAGATTCTCAATCAGAATTTTATAGTATAGTAACTAAAAACAAAAATAAAAGCATAATTGCATGAATGCAAGCTTGTACTGATAATGAAAAGTAACGGGAAAGGACCTTAAAGAGGAAAAAAAACCTGCCTTACATTTAACAAAAATCATGTATGAATTGAACTTTCTTATATTGTCACAGGGGTGTTTTCACGTACGCTATCTTTTAGACTAATTGGAATTTTAAAAATCTTATTTATTAGTAATTTTCTTATGTAATTATCACAAGCTGTTCAGAGATTTCTTACCATCTGCTGGCTCTTCTATGTTATCATGCCAAGACATAGGCTTCTTGGTGATGGTGTGAACTGGAAAGAAACGATGCAGGTGAATTACTTTAATGTGACTTTAGCGTCACAGCCAGGTATAGGATATCCATCCTTGCAAATGTTCTTTTTGATTATTCCCCAGTCTGGGCCCAGCTACTTCCCTGAAGTTGTAAAGGAAGAATAGCATGTGAACAGAACAAAACAAGAGTACTGACTAATGGCAACTCCCTAGAAAGGGAAGGGTGTTAAGCATGCTAAAGGCCCTTCTACTGGATGCTGCCTGGATTCACAACAAAGTTCCACCCCACCCACATAGTGGCCTGCAGTGTGCCAGGTTTCAAACAATTTTCCTTTGGTTTGCTTTCATTTCACTGTGAAAGGTACACCTGCATGAATCTATTCACATCACCCCTCCACGCTAGCATAGGTGATGACATTCTATGACTCAAGTAGTGGGTAGAAACCAGCCCAGGGGCTGAAGAAACACGGTGTAGTGTTTAGACTCTCTACCCCATCTTAGCTCTGTGTTTTGTTTTGTTTTTTTTCCTCAAGATCCTTGAATTCTTGATCCTAAACAGTTGCTTCACTTCTACATGTTTACTAGAGGCCCTGCCTAGTTTGGGCAAATTGGTCTCTTCTCAGTTCTGTCTTTTGAGCGTGCAGGCTGGTTTCTCAAGCACAACGGAAAGCCCCACCAGTTGCTCCTTCCAGATCTACCCCTCTCGCTAGCC